GGGGGGCAGAGCCGAGCTGGGCCCCCTCGGCACCGTCGGCCGCGCCCCGCGCCCTGCCCTGACGCGTGTCATCATCACCATTCGTCTTCATGACCGTCGCCTTTGTCGTCACACCCACACGACCGCATATAATCACACACGTATTCATTTTTCATTTTCACTTAAAAGCCCCGGTCCCCAGTTGGGGCTGAAAGACGGTTCAAGACCCTCTGCCTGATAGCCGCAAGTCTAGGTCAGTCCCGTCCAGCCACCGTACTACCCGCCGTGGCTGATAGTGAAGCTGTCCAAAAAAGCAAAAAATAAAGGAAACAAAAACAATGGCACGTTTCTTTCTTCTCCTTAATTCTCTCCAGATTCGAAAAACACTTTCAAATCAACGTGGACCAAGAAATATGTGGCTCTATGCACTGATAGGCCACCAAGTTTTAACACTTTGCAAAACTACGGAGTCGAAGACTTGCAAGTGTTCAACTCGCAGCCGCACACTTACGAGTGTTTCGAGGTTGAATTGTCCAAGGAAGAAACCAAAGGTGCATCACAGAGTCGCCAGTCCGGTCGCACAGCCGGGCGCTGGAGAAACTCCAGTACTGCAGCGGACAGCTGAGCGCGGCTGTCCGGGCCGCGCCGAGCCAGCTGTACAAGGGCCGAACCCCTCCCCCCTCCCCCACCTGGAGCCTGGAGCGAGCCTGGAGCGAGCCTGGAGCCCCTGCAGCCTGCAGGCGAAAGGGCTCTGCTCGCCCGTCTGGAAGGAAGCGTGCCCCCTTTCCGCCCCTCCCCCCCCCCTCCCTTTTCCTGTCAAAGCCGCCAGTCGACACCGCGCAGGGGGGAGGCACATGCACGGCAGTGCAGTGAGCTGAACTCAAGAGATCGACACGTGTTCCACACGTAGGAATACCTGGGGTTCTCTGCTCAACTCTTCCAGGCGAGTGTGCGGGGGGCGGGGTGTGTTCGAACACCTGTGAGGCTCGCAAGTGCTCGCGAGTTTGAACAACCCAGCGGCCCCGGGAGACACCCCGGCCGCCGGGCCGCCCCCGCCCCTGGACCGCCCCCGCGCGGGGCCGGCCACCACCCGCCTCACGAGGCGTGTCTACTGAAATAGCTGAGCCGGCACGGAAAATGTGAAACAGATGAGGGCGGGGCGGGCGGAGCACTGGCGTGCGGGGCGGGTCTGCCGGCTGGGGCGGCCGGGGACCCCCGCCGCCACCCTCCTTTGGGCCTTGCGCGTCTCCTCCGGTCACCACGACGACGCTCAAAAATACGACATCCATCTTCATAAAAGGCAAAAATCGAGAAATTTAACAAGCACGGTATACGGCCTCCTCTTTCCCTGCGGCTTCGAGGGACTTTGAACGGCCGGACCAGAGCGGCGGGGGCGGCGGGGGCGGGGGGCGTAAGGAGGTCGGGGGGGTTGGCGCTCTGACGCGCCGAGGGAAACCCTAGGCCGCTACTTGCTTCCCCCGCAAGGGGATTGTGCCCGGGAGAGGGCGAGGGGGGGGGGGGGTGGAGGCGAGGGGAAGGGGAGCGGCGAGAGTTAAGGCCTTTTAAAAATAGGTTGAGTGTGGTCGTGTGTAAGTGAACCGCCTCCCCCTCCACACCTACCCGCAGGGCGCCTTCCGCCCGACCCGCCGAGGCACGCGTACACTGCAAATACTCGTTTGAAACAAAGTACAACGCGAAGCGAGTAAGGATATACGTAGCAAGTAGGTGGTTTGCCAGAGTCACACACACAAAATAAAAACTGAGTTCACGCTTCAAGAGCATTGTACTAGATCCTTGCTCATCTCAAACAGTCCACCATGTCCGGTGGGGTGTAGAGGCAAACCAAGCTACCTCACCATTAGCACTTCCCATCAATCGAGCCAACATTTCCAAATTTCCCCACCACAGGTTCAAAGTAATTAAAATGAGCCAGAGCCGGCGTCCGTCGTCGTATGGTCGTGAGAGAGGGAGGTGGGTAAGGGGGGCATTGGGCATTGTGCACTGAGTCAGGCCAGACGAAGTATTAGCCATGGCCACGACTCCCTGTTCCAAATTCATTTTCCCCGTCAAGTGCGTGCGCGCGTGTGTGTGAGTGAGTGTGTGTGTGTGTGTGTGTAAATGCGAGCGTGTGTGCGGGCCGGGCGGCGGGCCGGCCGAGCAGACGCCAGGCGTAACAGTGGCACCGTTAAACCATATTTGCATAATAAGAGCGGCTGCTCCCACAGCGAGAGCGCGCGCCCCGCGAGGCCCGGGTGCCCGGGTGGTGCCCGGGGCGGGCAGGACAACCGCCGCGTGATGAACGGAGTAGAGCACCGGCACCCCGTCGGGCATGTTTCTCTTTCAAAAGCGATGAAATACGAGTTTACGGGCCCAATGTGCAATATCTGTTTGTCCAAAACGCGTAATGTGCCACAATATAAGCCCCCTCCCCCACTCCAGAAGACTCTGCCTCATCATCGCTACAGCCGCGGCCGCGCCCCCGGGGGGAAGGGGGGGGGGTCCACCTGCCTCCTCACTTGTGCCCCATGGTGCCTCCGCGGCCGACCCCGCAGGGCCGATACTTTTTCCAACCCAAAAAACGAGGTCACCACGCGACCCTAAACGAGGTCGTCATCGAGAAGGACAAGAGCGCTAACAAGCGCACACAGCCTGCCGGCCGGCCTCGGCTCCTTTACTGAACGCACAGCGAATATAAGAGGGCACGGCCGACCAATAACCTGCACTGCACCGGAGTGCAGCGCTGTCTCTCTCCGTCGCACTCGGCGGGGGGGCCATGCCCCCCCCCCTCTTTCTCTCTCTTTCTCGCGGGGCGCGCGGCTTGGCTCGGCCGCTCGGCCGCTGCTGCTTGCTGGCAGCGCTCTCACTTCATCGCGCCACCTACACTGCGCGAAATACTACAACAGCGCGCGCGGGCGGGCGCCTCGCGGCCTTACGCCAGCTACTTTCGCGGAAGAGAATGAATTTAATTTTAAAGTACGACGAAAGACGAGAGGAGCGGGGGAGGAAGGGGAGACGCGCGCGTGCCTCGCGCGCGCGGACTACACAAAAACTTTTTTTAGGG